CTGTCTCTGACACTTACTGCCTCCGTCTGATAGCCTAGGTCTAGTCCTGGAAGCTTCTAGCCTTCGTACAATCTAATGTTGGCCTAGGATGTTTTCAGCCTCTGACACTTAACTGCTGAATAAGCTCACCCTTTCTAGCTCTTTCTGAACTCTGGCTGGCTGATTCAACTCAGCTGTCCTGGCTCAAATTAACTCTAGCAATCTCATCTAATCTTCTGGCTCATTCTCTGATTTGTTCTGTCTTCACCTGTGTCTAGCTTCTTCTCTTTTCAACCCGTCTCTGTAAAACTCTCCTGGTAAAACTGCCTCTGAATTCTACAAACTGAACTGCCATGAACTCAGTTCCACTGCACTGCCTCTCAACTCACTGATTCAACTGAGCTGACTGAACAGCACTGACTAGAACTCAGAGATCTTTATGCCTCTATCTGCTGAGTGCTAGGATTAAAGGCGTGCACCACTACGCCTGGACCCAAGCTTTTCTTTACCCGAAACTTGCTCTATACCTGGCTGTCCTTGAGCTCAGATCTGCTTGCCTCTGTCTCCTGGGAATGTCTGTATTCCAGATGGAGCACAGTGACCTTTGGATGTGACCTCTTGCCAGCTGTGTATTTGGAGAATATCTGACCTTTCACATTGCAGGGGCTATAAAGGGTATCCTGGAATGAGCTGGGCCCAAGCATGCTGTCAGGAGGCTATCCCTCACAATACCTTAAAGAGTGGCTTCTTCACTTAGTACATGGTGTGTTTCCTCCTCTCTGCACTTTTTGTGAAAATTGGGCCTAAGGGATGGAGATCACGTCAACTTCCCAGCACTGCAAATAACACTCCCTCTTGGACCCACCCTTTTCTTTTCCAGCACAAACAAAACTGGAGTTCTCTACCCCTCACTCAAGTTTGTCTCTGGCTGCCTTTGGACTGAAACCTATTCCACAGGTGGCAACCTGGCCTGGGGAGGACAGCCTCTTTTGACTGCCTGTCTACACTGAGCAAGGAGGTAGAAATGAGGAAGAAGGGCTGCCCAGGTTGTTGGCTTGCACTTCAAGAACCTTCTGTAGGTACTGAGGACCTCAGTGTCCTCAAATAGGCTTGTACCCTTTTCAGGGCCACTCAGGATCTTGTTGGCTGGTCAACAGAAGGCTGTGGTTGGATGCATGGTTTGGAGTTCCACACATGTTCACATATCATGATGGACCAAGGAGCAAGGGATCATGGTCGCTAAGACAGCTTTCTCAGCATCTTAAGCAGTTTCAAGGTCTCTTCCCATCACCAAAGAGCCCTTTATCAGCCATGTTTTACATAAGGTATGATTTGCATACTTCATGCACATTATCAAGAGCAAATGCAAGCTTGTCTTCTATCCAGCAACAGCCTGATCCTAAATATCTACCGTATTTCCTGAGCTTTTTTGAGACAATAAAACAGGCACGCCATGTCTCAGAAATATGAACTAGCTAAACAAGTATGTTATTTACTTGTAGTCTTTAAGGCTTAACTGGGATCAAGGCTTTGCTTGACTGCTACACTCAGTCTAGTGTATCTAGCATCCTAGGAGGGTTTCAGCAGCCTGCGGTGAAACAACTGTGGTGCTGGTGAGGGACCCAGGAGCTTTAGGGACCACCAAGCAGGTTGCTGAGGCAGCTCAAGAAAGGGCACGCCTTGCAGCAGAGGTGAGATGATGCTTTCCAAGTTTCCAGGGATGTTTGGAAAGTCATCTAGCTGAATATGGGCTAGAGGTGTTCGGTGCTCCATTCCAATGCCCACAGGTAGCATGCGAGCTATGCATGCAGTGTAGTGTAAGAGGTCTCTCCAAGTGCTGGCCGTGTGCAGTGACCAGTGCATCTGTGATGGCGGTGGAGGAGGTTTCCGGCAGCTTTTGTACTTTTGTGGATGTCCTCCAGCATCCTCGGGCTCTCTATTGCCACTGTTGGTAGATGCCCTGCTGCCCAATCCTTGATGACTCAGACAGCTGCACACACACGGTTTATATCCAGCTGGGAAGACAGAATCTCTTCTTCCCTACTAGACTGGGGACACCACAAGGACAGGAGCAGACAGTCTTCTTGTTCCTTCTAATCTCCACCCTCCAGAATTAGTGTATAAAAGGCAATCAATAGGTACTGGGTAACTAAGACTTGTGGTGACCTGGAACTGGATCAGAAGGATGGGAAAAGCTAAAATAGAGCCAATGTCAACCAGAAATGGTGCCTGGAGGTTACCAGGACTATAGGAGGGTGAAAGTAGGAGAGAAATAACTTTTGTACAGGAGGAACAAATATGTGTCTAGGCCCTGAGGGAAAAGGGACCACAGCTGGCTGTTGGGACTGAGAAAAATGGGAACTGGTGGGGAGTGCAGACACCTGAGGAGGAGGTCAGTCTGTGGTGATGGCAGGTTTTGGAAGGCCTTCAAAACAATCTTAGGGACCGTGAGCGTCATTCTAGGGACTTCAAGAAGATAGCAAAGGGTGACAGAAAACATGATTTGAAAATGTAGACTTTGTTGTCTGGAATTGAAAGTAACAGCTCACACAGGCACCAAAATTGGAAGGAGACAGCTCCTAACGGAGATGGTAACTCAAACCCTAGAGGTTATTGGAATGGCTGTGAAATGTATAAACTTGGAAGAGCAGAGGGCCTCAGACACTAAGGAATTCTCAGTGGAGAGGAATGGAACAAGAAAATTCTGGTTCAATCATGGCTACTCATGATGACTCCTGGGAAACACTAAAAATGTTCATCTCTAGGGGGATTTGACTATATGACATAATTTTGAGAACCCTAGAGTAGCATCACAAAGCATTTGGTAAAACAAGACAACTGTCAAAGAGACAACCAGAGTTTGGGAGGAAATAAGAGAATGGTGAAAACCAGGGGGAGAATTTCAGAAAAAAAAAAAAATCAATGAGATTGAGATTGGATTTGGTAGCTGAAGGCTAGCTGGTGCTACAGCCACTTGTCTGACTCCTTCATATTTGAACTCAGTAAACATTACAAGAAGCAGACCAATATCCACAAAATTCAGTGGGTGGGGCAAAGAGAATAAAGGTATATCAGCTACTTATTAGAAGTAGAAGTCAAAAGGAGGCAAAATGTATAGTCAGCAGGTCAGGAGCTAGGCTTTCTTAGGAGAGGAAACAAAAGTATGAGTTCAGAGACCAGAATCCTCCAGGAACTAGAATTTATCTCTGGCAAAGAAAGAACTTGTTATTGTAAACTGAACAAAAGAAAAAGGGTAAGCCTAAGTTATTAAGAACTTAATGTGTCAAACTAAAAAGTTTCATGGTTTTTATCTAGAGGATAAATGGGTTCTGTACATGAGAAAGTTAAGTGCTACTGTCAGACTTAAAAGCCCATTCTAGCAGCCAATGGGAGACAGGACCTTGAAGCCAAGGATGGATTATGAAATGATGGCAACTCAGACTTCCATTTAGAGACTATCACAGGAATCACATGGAAGACTGAATCACTGGGGCAGGAACACTGAAGATGAAAATTAAGCTGAAGGGGTGGCTGGAATAAGAGCTTCACTTGAGTGATGGCTGGCTAGAGGCATGAGCCCTTGAGACAAGGAATAAGGGAAATAGATTAGATGAGGGGAGGGGAGGAGATCTGACACAGAAATAACATTTCCATACTAGAAGAGGCATCAGTAACAATATTGCTCAATCCTTGCTCCTTAACTGTTCTCTCTCCTCTGCATCAGTCTACAGCCTGTTATAAATATCCATATCTCTATAGCTGCTTTCGCTTCTAACTTGTAGAGATTCACCCTTCCATGATTACTTCGCCCAAACATAATTATAATGCACCAATGCCTTGAAAGTCACTGAAAGTGGGGACAGATGTATTTATCCCAACTTGAAAGACTCAACCGGCTGTCACCTTACAGAGGTATTATTATATCCTAGCCAAAAGACATGTATTGCCTAATTAGAAACTATTAAGTTAGATAATGTCATAAAGTCTCTGGAGAAATACAGCGTAGTAGGAGGCAAACACACACACACACACACAAGGTGCGGGGCATCGAGATTCATGAATTGGCTTAGATCTGTGACCTCTCTGACAACTATACGTAAAAGTTTGTTGGTATGCACTTGCTGAGCAGAGTGGAGTTATATCCATTGCATGGCAACAAGGAGAGTTGGACTCCTAAAAGACCGCGGAACACCCTACCAAAGTCTGTTGTGCAGTGCTGATACATGAACTTCAACCCAGTAGGAAGAACGAGCAAGCAGCTTGGCAATCTGCTAGTGAACTGATATTTAACTTTCTTTATTCTTACAGGCATTGAGGTGGGTATTGTGGCGCCTGCCGGGAATCCCGGCCTTTGGGACGTGGTTGGGGTGGGGTGGGGGGGTTGGAATTCAAAGATAACCTAGGTTTGCATGAGTTTGAGGTCAGCCTGGTCTACATAGGGAGCTGCAAGGCAGCCAGGGACCCTGTCTAAGAAACCAAAATTAATAGTTACTAAAAGATCAGATGCTCACTGGGGGCTTTTCCAGGCACGTGCCCTAGGCCAAAACTCACAACCCCAGCACCAGCCACCAACCCCGACGCCTTCCGACCCGGAAGAAACACCCGCCTCCTAAGAGGAGGAGTCCGTTAAGCACCAGGAGGTTCACAGAGTTTCCGAGCATCAACACGGAAGTAACATCCAGCCGGAAGTTCTAGGGCTCGCCTCGGGAGGGGTGGGGGCGGGGAGCCACTGGCGGACTGCGGCCAGGATGGCGGCTCAAATTCCAATCGTGGCTGCCAGTTCTACCCCCGCCGTAGCTAGAAACAGCAAGAAGAGGCCGGCCAGCCCTTCCCACAACGGCAGCGGAGGGGGATACGGCGTTAGTAAGAAGAAAAAGCTGTCCGGCTTCGGTCAGGTACACCGTACGCACCGCCCGAGGAAGAGCGCGCCTGCGCGGCCCGAGAGTCAACCGGACAGCTGCGCGGGGAGGGGCGGAGAGTGAGGCGCACGCGCAGTGACAGCGCAAGGCCGGGAGGGGCGGTTCGGTGCTCAAAGGCGAGCGTCCCGGCGGACTTGCGGTTTTGGTTAAAAGGTCACCCGCGTCACGCAGTGATGTGGGAGTTTGTAATTGACTTGGTAGAAGGGCCGCCCGGTTCTGTCAGGACCTGTTTCTGTATGTTCCTGCGTGGGAAGTTCGCTGACCATCCGTAGCAGACTCCTCGCAGACAACCGGAGGGAGCCTGAGGGGTCGCTCTGGTGTACGACATGGAGGGGTACAATGATTGATGCCAGTGGGTCCCTTCATTCTTTTAACGAGTTTAATCTGGAGTTTAAGCGTTCCAGTCAAGCTGGGCAATGATGGTGCACGCCCTTAATCCCAGCACTTGGGAGGAAGTGGCAGGCGCATCTCTGCCAGTTTGGGGCCAGCCTGGTCTAGAGAGCGAGTTCCAAAACACCAAGTTTTTTTTTCTCGATAAACCTAAAACAAAACAAAACAAAAAACAAACAGAAAATACAAAAAGAGGTTGAAGACAGTGTCGGACGTGCTGAGGACAGTGTGTTGGCACAGCTCCAGGAGTGGCTTGGTTGGGCTCTTGTGCGATATAAAGATGGTTAGGCCCTTCAGCTTGTGTGGCGCATTTGCCCAGGGACTTCGTTGGTAATTGGCGCTCCCACTCATTTTTAGCGTTATTGGGTTAATATGTTTGCATTCAGTGAACCACAGAAAGTAGGATAGTGTCCAGATAAGATAGCAATCCGAGTGGTCCACAAAATCCCTGCTTATCTTGTCCTCATGCCTTAGCCTTGCAATTCTGTCACTGTGCTCTTCGCTCCCTGCCAGAGGTAACCTGTCTTCTGCCATCTCTTACCTCAGCTATGTTTTTAAAGAACGGAACCGTACAGAACGTATTCTTGTCTCCCATTTAGTAATTCACTCAATACTGACGTAATTGTCTGCCTCTTGTAAAATAGTGATTTTTGTTTCTTTGAGACAAAAAATAAAAATAAAAGTAAAAGTAAGGCAGTCTGGTCTTGAACTCATGATCCTAGCTCATTAGTTCCTAGAACTAAAATTTAAAAAATGGAACACCCTGCCAGTTTCTTCTGTATGTACTCTTGGTTTTTTGAAAGAGGGTTTCTCTGATGTCCTGGAACTCACTCTGTAGACCAGGCTGGCCTCAAACAGATCTGCTTGCCTCTGCCTTCCACGGGCAGTGTGTGCCACCGTGCCTGGTGGGTTTTGTTTTTTTGAAACAGGATTTCATTGTGTTTTTCAGGCTGGCTTAGAAACTCACTCTGTATCTCAAGTTGGCCTCAAATTTCTTCTGGTTCTCCTTTTTCGGCCTCCTGGATGTGAGATTATAGGCATGCACCATCATGCCCAGCTCCCGTGAATACTCCTTTTTTTTTTCTTTCCCTTCCCCAAGGTCTGATCATTTATTTGTTCCTCTTAAGGACTTATTTTTGACTGGACTCAGAAGTAGAAGCTCTCAGGAGGACAACCTATGTTTCTTGGTGATCTGTTCCTGGCTCTTTTCTTTGGCCTCCTTCATTCTCTTGCCTAAAAGTTTAGTGTATTCTGTTGCTTCCTTTTTGTTTTCCTTAGTACATTGTTTCTTTAGAACAATAGATCTGTGTTTGTGTCGAAGACACTTGGAGTAACAAGATGCTGAATGTTGGGTGCTTTGGTCCTGGTCTTCTTACCCTCTTTGTTTAAGAGCTTTCTTACAACATATTGGCAGACTGAGAGAGACTGAGAGACTGAGATGCTTTTGAATTGTGCTAGGTCTTTTAGGTCCCAGCTGACGAGGCACAGTAGTGTCTGTCAGCCCAGGAATATCCTTCTTTCCTTTTTTTTTTTTTTTAAACAGTAACCAAGTTGGGAACACTCAGACTGGCATCCACAATGCATCTACAAACAGACTTCTGCTTCCTCACTCGAGTTCTCCTTGTTCTACAATGAGAATGCCCCTTACTTGACAGCAGGTGCACTCTGCCGTGGGTCAAAGCGCCTTGCTGCATGGGAAAACCTTATATGGCCTGATCCAGACCATATAACCCTTCCACTTTTCACCCAGAGCACCGGCAGCTACGTCTGTGGCCATGTGCTTCTCATAGAACATATGAAACTTTCGTTCATTGTCTACTTCCCTGAGTTTGTGGCAGCCAGTGGCTGGAGAGAATATCTTCAGCTTCATCTTGACACAGCCGCCCACCTAGGAGGCTCCACAAAAAAGAGCCCTTGTATGCTCTTGATGGGAGTCTTCAGGAGCAGTGCTGTGTATATTCTCCTGTAGTCTGTCCACAGTATGACTTAGTGTTCACTTATGCCTAGACCAAGCAACATAGTCACTACAGAAAGATGAGATCTTTGTTTCTTTTTAGGTCTTTTTGTTTGTTTTTACTTTTGTTTTTTGATAGAAACCCTCAATTGTAGCTCCTGCTGGACCTAGAACTTGTAGTATGTATTCTTGTAGTATGAATGTAGTATGGCCTTGAACTCACAGAGATCTACCTGCCTCTGCCTCCCAGTGCTGAGATTAAATACCAGCTTTACCACGTTCTGCTCTTTGTGGGTCACTTTTTGAAACAGAGTCTTGCTATGTAGCCCATGCTGGCTGAAATTTACTGTGTAGCCCAGGCTCAGCTTCTTAGTTAAGATTACTGTTAGATGCTGCTGTCTTTGATTCTTAAGTGTTGACAAAAACCACTGCCTTCTTTCTTTTAAAAAGTCCCCACAGCGAAGACAAGGTTGTCCTGAAGTCTGAATCCCAGTGGTGAAGGCTGCTATTGGCAGAAATTGTTGGTTTGGTTTCTACAGTTTTGCAGAAGTGGGTGGGTCCCAGGCCTTGCTGACTCCAGTGTCATACAGCCAGGCCAATTTCTCTACCCTGGGACTTACACCATCTCCTTTAGAAATGCAAAGAGGGCATAGCCCTTAGCTCTAGGCGTTACTTCCTCATCTCTGCATTGGGCCTTTCATGTCTCAGGGCTGGATATTCCATCTCATAAAGTCTCTTAGTGTTAATGGTACTTTCACAATATGGAAAGAGTAGATCATCTTATATCTTATTTTTATTACAGCAGACTTGATTTTCCTTCTGACTAAAGGCCTTCCTGTCTTTCTGACTCAGCACTGACACCAGAGTTGCAGGGAGACTGAGAGGAACAGAGGAACAAGGGTGGAATAACATGGGAATGGGGATGAAGAGGAAAGGCAAGCTGAAACCAGTATGCCCTCTCTGGGGTTTGCCTGGCTAGAGATGGCATAGAAGCCTCTACTGGTGGAGAAGCAGTCGCTTTTCTGTGATACAAAGTAAGTGCTTCACCATCGGGCCAACTCCCAGACCTTCATTCCTTCTGCACTCTTCCCTAGGCTGCTGCCCCCGTCACCCCGACTACTGTCAGCAGAAGCTCTTGGTTTGGTGGGTTGGCCTCTCCCTGCTCGAGCTGTATGACTGTCTAGTCCACACTGACTTGCTGCAGTGAGTGCTTTTCACAGGGGCCTGTAGAGACCTCAGGGAATTTTATTGCCCCTGGTGCAGGAGGCTGGAATTGACTGCACGCTGTCTGTAGTGCTCCTGTCCCAGCCGTAGTCTTCTTTCTTTTCCTTTAAGCATCTCCCTGCTTCCTTAGCAGCTCAGCGTGTTTGTCCCAGATGACCTCTTTCCTCCTAACACTGGCTGGTCTCCTGAGAGCCTCTAGTTACCTTCTAATTAGAAGTTTCTTTTCTCCTTTTGCCCTTGGATCACAGCCTCCTAAAACATGGATTTCAGGGCCAGTGAGATGGCTCAGTAAGGAGAGGTGGAAATGCAGCAGTACATGTGACACCCGCAAGTGAATACAGAAATTCAAGCTAGATTTCAGTGTGAGTTTCTTAAGGCTTAAGGTTTTGCATAATGCTGGGAAGACTGGAACGATGGAGGATGACAGGATGGCTGTCTCCACTGAGGAGCCCAGGCCAATGCAGAAACCCTGGAGAGGAATTTGAGGAGAGACCTTTCTGAGAATTATTGTGACAGTGAATGACCCTGTCTTCCTATTTCTGTTGCTGCCATAAATCCCATGGAGAGAACACACTCACACTCACATACAACACATACAACACACGCCTTATAAGTTAAATACGCACTTTCTCAGGAACACAATCACTTCACTCCTAGGTACACACCCAACAGAAATGAAAACATGACATTCTAGTTAGATTTTTTTTTTTTTCTTTTGGGGGATGTTTTGTTTGAGACAGGTCTCCCTATGTAACTTACATATCAGACTTGTTATGTTGACCAGACTGACCTCAAACTCACAGAGATTTTTGCCTGCCTGTGTCTCCCAAATGCTGACATTAAAGGCGTGCATCACCATGCCTGGACTAGCTGGCTAGTTTTCTGTGATAAACACTGTGACAGAAGTAACTCAGGGTAGGGAAGGATCGATTTCAGCTTTCACTTCCAGGTCATAGCCCATCACTAAGAGAAGCCAGGAACTTAATGGGAGAACTGAGGAGGATTGCTGCTCACCAGCTTTCTTTCCCTCTGGCTTGCTCGGCTTGCTCAGCCCAGGCCTGCCTGCTTAGGGATGTGCTCCCCACAGTAGACCACTCTCACATCAATCATCAGTCAAGACAGTTCCTCACAGACAAGGTCAGAGGCCACTGTGGTCAAGACAGTTCTTCATTGTCATCCCCTCCTTCCCAGGTGATTGGTGTCGAATTGACTAAAACTAACCAACAGCTTTACTTAAAATTGTATGGCTGCATGTGGATGTGTGTGTTCACAGGCATGACAGCTCTGTTTATAATTGAATGTTGAAAATAAGCCAATGTTCAACAGGGAGATGGATAAATAGGTTTTAACACATCCATGTAGCGAATTCTACTCTGATGAGAAATAGGAAAATGGGTGAAACAAACTACTGAGCCATGTAACGGCATCAAGGTGCCATTCTGACCTGAAGAGGCCAGGCACAAGCCACACAGCACCACATTTCACGTGTAAGATGTCCTGGGAGAGGGGAAAGTCATGTAGAAGAATCAGAACAGCAGTTGCCCTTGGGGCTGGAAGGGGTTGGGCAGGAAGGGGTTGGGCAGGAAGGGGCGAGAGAGTGTTCTGGAACATTGAGAGTGTACTGTGTCTTGGAAAGGGTTTGGATGCCCAGTGTCAATATTGAGAAACACATGAAACCTATACCTGACAGGTATGATGCATTTCGGTCTGTGAAGACCATGCCTCTGTTCCTAGAATGTTTGTCTTGGAAATGATTCACAAGTCAGACAACTTTTCTTCTTTTCTCTGGGGGTTGTTATCGTAAAGGTTTGGTTTAAAGCAGATCAGCTGTGTGACTGGACACAGCACTCCAGCTGCCCGCTGACTCACATCCCTCCAACTTCCTCCTCTTTCTCAAAACCCCAAACTAACTCCAGCCTGGGTTTTCTGATCAAATTAGGACCCTTATGGTCCAGACTCTTAAGGCTCTCTCCTGGAGCCCTGGACACTTGCATGTCTGTCTTCTTGAGAGTAAAAGTAAGGAACCCTTGCCAGGTTTGGTGGCACACCCCTGTAATCTCAGCACTCAGGGGGGACAGAGACAGGCAGATCTCTGTAAATTCAAGGCCAGCCTGCTCTATAAAGAGAGTCCAGGACAGCCAAGGCTACACAGAGAAACCCTGTCTCCAAACAAAGATGTGAAACCCACCTGGCTTAAAAGGTTTTTTTTCCCCCTGTTTTAAGGGTGTCAGCATTGAAGCCATGAGTGAGAATAAAATGGCATCCTCTGAGTTTAGCTCAGGACCTGTGGAAAAAGCTGCCAAACCGCTGCCGTTTAAGGATCCCAACTTTGTGGTAAGCATATAAGCTGTTACACAAATAGAGGGGTGCACAGCTGCACCTCAGCCTCCGATCGAGCAGGGCCTGAGGTGCCTCTGGGATCCCCTTCTCCCTCAATCCCATCCATCACCCTCTCCCATGTGCTGTTGAAGATGGGAGTGGGGGATGAGGGATGGATATGGGACTGGACAGGAAAGGGCTTTTGTGATGTCTCAGTATGCCAGGCTTTTTCAGAAATCCCCAGAGGACAGAGATTTTCCATGATTGTTCCCCTCTGCTTTTTATTGCCCTTAAATAATTTTAAAAAAGCTTGAAGTAGATAACTAAAATGGGAGCACTCCTCACCTATCCTTTGAATACCTTTCATTCATGAGGGCTATGTATCGAGTAATCGGCTACAGTGACTGACCCAAATTATAACTTTAAAGGGCTATTTTGTTATTAATGAGTTTTGGCAATCTGTTGTAACCAGGGTCTGCAGATATGTTAGTAGTCTTTTCCATTTCATGTTTTTAATCTTTCTAGCACAAAAAGAAATTTCCAGAAGGCTTGCCATACCATGATTGAAGCTTATTTCAGTATTCCAGGACCACTAGTGATTATGAGGCAGTGACACACCCTCAGAGGGGGTTTAGAGATGTGGTCTCCAGATTAAATCCAACTTTGTGGTAAACTTACTTTAAAGGGATGAGGTCATAAGTAAATTCAACTAGGATGGACCCAGTAAAGAATTTCCTGTGTACATCCTGAAAAGTAGCCATTTATTTCTGCTCTATTACCAGCAAACCTATGGGTTTGGAAAGCCCCCAAACCATTTTTGTTTGCTTGCTTATTTTAGATTTTTGTTTTGTTTTTTGAGAAAGGGTCTCCTGGAGCCTAGTAGGCTGGCCTCAAACTCATTTTGCAACTGAGGCTGGCCTTGAACTCCCAAATTCTCCTGCCTCTGCCTCCTGAGTGCTAGGATTATAGGTATATTTACCATGAGTAGTTGAAAACTATGTTCTTTTAAACAAAGATGAAAGCGTAAGGTGACAAATAGTCGCTGATAGACTGAGAAGTGCCTGGCAGTTCAACCGGAACGGTGTCAAGATTCCCCAAGCCTATCTCCCACTGACTTATGTCTCCTAACTCTTTAATTTGAGCAGCATTCTGGCCACGGCGGCGCAGTGGCTGGCAAGAAGAGCAGAACCTGGAAGAACCTCAAACAGATCCTCGCTGCTGAAAGGGCGTTGCCATGGCAACTGAACGATCCTAACTGTGAGCTGTCTAGAGCCTTCCATGTGTTTGTAATGCAGACAGGAACTTCCTCACAACAAGCCTACGTTGTTTGCTCCTGTTTGTGTTATTTCGGGGGGGGAAAACGCTCGTAGCCCGAGAACCACACAGTGGCACCCATCCAGGGATATTATGCATGTGTTCCCTTTTCACTGAGTCTGTTTGTTTGTGTTGTCCCCGGTGTGTGGTTTTTAGTGTCATTATTTAAAATTTCAGTCTGGGGAAGTAGGTCCCACTGTGATAATGTCGGTGTTGCTATTAGGCTTCTCATTTAAAAATCTACTCTTTAAATTTGTTTTCACAAGCAACACAGGCCACCTGTAATGTGAGACTGGAAAGGTCTCCAGCATGCAGTCCCAACCACCCTCTCTCTCACACAGTGAGCAAATGCCTCCTACTGTAGTTCTGTCCTGCCCTGGGCAAAAGCCGTAAGATGTTCTGCTGCATTGGAAACTTCAGGTTCCAAGATCTCTCCACTTCCTGTCTTGCTGTGCATCTTTCATGGGGGTGACTCACATGGCGACAAGTTAGTCATCTGGGTGTGGACCGCCTGAGTCTGGGTGTGCAGAGTTAGTGGCTGTGTGGCCTTTCGTCACTGTCAGTCCGTCTTAGCTGGAGACTGTAAAATAGCCTTTGGGTAGATGAACCTGGCAGTTCCGCTGGGGTCACTTGTCTCTGGTGGCAGGACAGGACCCTCGCTGAGGCCTGCACTTAGTCTGTGACATACTGTGTCATTTTTGAGCCGTCTCCCTTATTTTTTCTGACTAATCCCCAGAGGCTTCTATAAGTGTGTAACCTCAAAGGACAATTTCAGAACTGTTATCATATGTTAGCTTAGAATAAAGGAGGGGGGATTAGGGTGGTTTGAATGTTATTTGGTCATCTTCTTTTCTTTCTTCTTTTTAGATTTTAGTATTGATGCTCCTCCATCCTTTAAGCCAGCTAAGAAGTATTCTGATGTTTCAGGCCTTCTGGTGAGTATAATTACATCTGTCTATATTATCATTAGATACAAGATTTCACAGCTGTATCTTTCTAAACCGAAGATCCTGCCTAGAGTTCATTCTGTGACCCTAGTGTGGGTAGCCTGGAGGGGCCATCACTCCAGAAAACAAGACACAGGATTTTCACTTCTTCTTTTTCTTTTTCTGATAGTAACTCTGTGAGACAACATGAATGAAATAGCCATTTCTGTTTTCACCCTTAAGGTTTTAAAATACAGTACATAATTGATGGTAGTTTAAAGAAAATATTCAGGGCTGCTGCTGTAGCTCAGTGGAAGAGCCCCGCCTAGCATGCCCTCAGAGTGCCTTAGATCCAGCACAGAGTGGCTCTTTAAATCAGAACAAACACACACTTGTAAGCCTTTTCCCAAATGAAGCCGTATGTGTAACTGACATATCTAAAGGAGCTGGAGCCCTCTGTCCATGAGGGACTGTGTGGGCCTGGTCCTCTGTCTTCCTCTGCCCATAGCGGCCCCTCCATGCTCCTGGAGCTGGAGGTGTGGGATCAAGGCAAGCGCTGATGCTCAGGCAGAGAGAGCCTGCTCCCATGCTGGGTGCAGAACCTGCAGAGAAACTAAAGCTCAGCTTCCTCCCTCCTCATCTGTGGTAACTTTGAAACATGCCCTTTTCTGCTAATAATAGAAGCAATGAAGCATGCGGCCTCTGAAATTCACCTGTGCATCCTTTAAGTGCTTTGAAGTTTAATGAGGATAACTTACTCCACCGTGTGTCACTCACTGGCCAAATTAATTTTATACATTATACTAGGAGAATCGCTTCTTCTGTTACAACGTAATCTCCTCCCTCAACTCCTGGTTCTTCTCAATGTTCTGGTGTATGCTTCTGTCTGAAATCATACGGCTACATGTTTGGGTTAAAGTGTTCTCCTTAAGGCTCTTTTGCTGGGGACATAGGCCTCTGTATGGTGGTATTGAGCCAGGAAGAGGTTGACCTGATGAATTAATGATGTGTCTTTAAAATGGGTCACATATGGGTCAGATTTCATGGGCATGGACTAGTTTCTGCAAGAGAGGGCTGTCATGAAAAGAGCCTGTTTTTCCTCATTCTTTGTGTACACACGTGCCTTTTCTGTACTTGGCCTGTTCTCTTCACATACAGCCAAGTGGGGCCCTCACCAGGATGCCAACAATGAGAGCTAACTAAGCCTCTTTTCTTCTTTAGACTGCACACACACACTCACACCTTCGTGCTGTATCCCTGGTATCTCCTGAGATATCCTGGGGCTGGGTATCCAGCAGGTGCACCTAGCCACTGAGCCACCTCTCCAGCACCATAAGCTTCATTTCTCCCCAAAGCATCCAGGTATTTTTGAGTAGCACCACAGAATGAACTAGAACACCATCCCAGCTTTCTTTTTGTGCAAGTTTGCACAACATACCTGCCATGCATTTTTGTTTGTTTGTTTATTTGTTTTTGCCTTAGTCTGCTTTGCATCTGGAATGAGTTTCTTGTAGAGAGCGTCTTGCTTTGTGCCCACCTGACAGTCTGGCTGCACATGATAGCTTCATGTGGTGCACATTTCAGTGACCATTAGTGTGGGGAAATTCAATCAACGTCCTCAGCAGTGTTTTCTTTGTTCCCTCTGTGCACCTTTATCCCTTGTTTTGGGCTTCTGTTGGTCTAATTGGGCACCTTTAAACCCTTTGGAACAGTTTTTAGGTTACAGTAAAACTGAGAGGCTGTTCTATGGTGGTTCTCACAGACTCCAGATTTAGCTCGTTCTGATAATGACTGGTGCATTTGCTCTGATTACTGAACCAGTAGAGATGGCATTGTTACCACAGTTTATTTCAATTGTCTTAGTTTGGGGCCAGGTATAGTCCAGTGATACAGCTTTGCCTCCTGTGCCTAGGGTGATTTGAACCGTAGTACCACCAACAGAGAGGGAGAGGGAGAGAGAAGGGCAGGTCCAAAACAGGAGAGAGAGAACAGTAAATTTGGCCAAGCCTGGCATCCTGTCCTGTCTAGGATGCCATCGTAGTTAGTTGTCACAACTCTTTATGGTGACTGAAGGGATGGCTCAGAGGTTAAGAGCACTGTCTGCTCTTCCAGCAGTTCTGAGTTCAATTTCCAGCAACCACATGGTGGCTCATAACCATCTATAATGAGATCCTTCTCTGGCATGCAGGTGTACATGCAGACAGAAAATTATACACATAATAAATGTAACTCTTTACCATTCTTGATTGCTGCAGTTTCTCAAATTTTCCTTGTTTTGACAACTTTGTCATAGGTTTTTATTGTTTTGTTTTGAGATGGATAGTCTTCCTGTGACATCTCTAGCCAGTCTTGAACTCCTGAGCACACAAGATCCCCCTGCCTCAGTCTCGTATGTGCTGGGATTAAATGCACAAGCCAGTACAGCCGGCTGCTGGTTCAGTACTTTACAGGATGTTCTGCTGTGGAGCTGTGTCATGTGCTTTCCTCATTAGGGTACCTGGCTAACTAGACATTTCAATTTTTATTCATGCCTCCTGCTTTTGTTTAAAAGCTGAATGGTTGCCTCATAGTCCCAATGCTTATCCTACTGTAGTGTGAGTTTATTTTAGTACCATCTTGCTTGTCTGCAATGTGAAGCTCTTGTGCTAACTAATCTCTTTACAGCGCATTCTTCTGTTCTTTGTTAGTATGTTTACTTGTAAGATAACACAAAATAGACTATTTTTAAAGAATTTTTTTGTTTATTCTATTTCTGGCTTTTTTTTTTTTTTTTAAACAGGGTTTGTGTATGCACCTAGCAAGCTGACCCACAGCTTTTTACTAGAATTAGTTCCTGAATTGCATCTCTGACTATTGTTTTCTTGGTCATTGGTGGTCATTGGTCTGTCGCTGCCTCTTGTTTATTGTGTTGTGTGCTTCACTCATTTCAGTGATTGTCTGAGGCAGGAGAGCTGGTGTAGCCCCAGTTACTGTTATGCCCTGAGCCACTTTGAGCAGCTGAAAGTCATGGGTTATAAACAGGGGTGGAAGCTAGCCCCTTGGTGTGTCCTCTTTGTCCTCAGCCTTGGCTAGCAGCTGTCGGTTGGTACAGCACCTTTCACCTGTCAAAGGGCACAACATCATTTTGCAAAAACATTACTTCAGGCCTCTGTGGAGTCGGCACATTCCTTGCCTTGCCACACATACATGGGTTATCTAAGCTCTGCTTATAAGGTCTTTAGAACATACAAAGAACCCTACTACCAAACCACCGACAGATGGTCCTTTAAAAGGAGCCAGGAAGAGCTAGACAGCAGAAGAGGAAATAGAGATGACCAGGTAGACTTTCAACCTCACTGAGAGCCAGAAAAGACCATTACTTCTTTTCTGGAAGGACTGATGGTGTTTGGTTGTGCATTTCAGCCTATATATATATATATATATATATATATAAAGTTGTATATTCACTGCTTTTTGGGGGTAGGAAGGGCATTGACGCAGCGCCCTTGAATGACAATTTGGCACTTTCTTCTTAAAACAAAACAAATCAAAACAAAACCCTGTGATCTGGCAGTATGCCTTTATGCAGTTCCCTGGAGAAATAGGCTGTGCATGGGACTTAGGCAGGAATGTTTCTGAGAGACTATTACAAAGTTTTGGGGTCCCATGAAGGTATGTTGCTGAGATGTGTTCCGGCTATTCTGAGAACCTCCAGATCCATGTACAGCAACATGGATGAGGTTCCAGGGCACATTCATGACTTAAGAGATGCCAGATGATATAGACTGATAAAGACTTACACATACACACACCAATTTCTCCCCTTGGCTTGTTGTATAGTAAGGGTATAAACTTTGAAAGTCTGGAAGGATCCCCACCTAACCGTGGCTTTCTTGGGGGAAGCAAAAGGCCTTGAGGTAGGAGTTGGGTACTTTCCTTCTCTATGCCGTGTTTTAATCTTGTTTGCTTAGGTAGCAGGGTAGTTCATCTTGGTTGGGCACAGGAGGAAGCCATGAGTCGTACCACACCTGCATCGCCCTCTTTATGAAGCTGGCCAGTGTTGCGGCTCTGGAGGATATGGGGGACTGTGCTCACTGTCTGTCATCCAGAAGTTGGGGGCAGGGGTAAAGCTGTTAGGTGAGTCCCCATGGACAGGCCTGTTTGTCCTCCGGTCTCGAGGACAGAATCCAGAGGAGGGCGGAATAGTCTTCTCATCTGGCTCAGGGATATTACTTGGCATTCTCCTTTCTATTCAGAGTGCTGCATGTTGGCTCCTGGGTCCGCTCTGTTTAAGCTTTTTTTTGGTGACCACTTTGTCTGTGCCACAAGATCTCTGTGTTCGAATTGTTTGCACAGCAGCCTTCTTGGCAGTGAGTTGTGGACTCAGGTGGCCAGCCCAGCACAGTTTGGTGGTAGGAATGAGGCTGCCACAGACGGAGCCGCACTGAGACCACACATAGGTTCATACACGGAGCCAGATAATCCAAGCCAAGTCCATGTGCTAATACACTGCTGCGTTTCCTGAGGGTGACTCACCCCTGCCAGATAGTTAGCCTAACTGCTGCGCAGCCAGCCACAGGTCCACCAAAACAGCTTTGTTAGTGTTTTTCAAATCAAGCCTTTTCCTATGTTGCCATCATCAAAGGAAAGGTTAACTCATAGGAGACAGTGCCTGACAGTGTCCTTCCCATTCCCAGCTCTTACACTCTCTGCCCTTGTCCTTGAGCTTTAGAAGGGGTGAGACATGGTCCGATTAGGGCTAAAGACGCAACAGCCACTTGTTCTCAGCACCTGACCAGTCATGAGTCTCTGTACAGGAGGGAGTTAGAAGGCAGGGACGTGTGACCATTATGAAATCCGTTTTGGATCTGCAGCTTGCAGGATGCCAATAAGGAGTGACCCGGGACCTGGTGGGGCGTCTCTTCTTCCTCAAGCCTGTCCCTTGGAGTGTTTCTCAAGTCTGGAGAGGTGAATGAGTCTTTGCCAAAGTGAGCAATTTAGTGTTCTTGGTGACAGCAAAACATAATGAAGATGTATTGTACTTTGAGTAAAGTAGGAAAAGATTGAAGTTTGTACTTAAAATACCTCCACCAACAGCTTTCCGTCCTTCCCTCTTTTCACCCAGGCCAACTACACAGACCCTCAGAGCAAGCTGCGGTTCAGCACCATTGAAGAGTTTTCCTACATCCGCAGGCTGCCATCCGACGTGGTCACAGGCTACCTGGCCCTGAGGAAGGCCACAAGCATTGTTCCCTGAGCCTGGAAGTGGAGAGGGAATGCGAATGGCCTCAGATCACACTGCGCTCTTGATTTTGTTTCACAGAAACGAACATTTCTAGTGTCAGTTTGAAACTGTCGGCTCTGCACCTTGGAAAGAATGTCTGGCTTTACCCTGAGGATTTTTGTGTTTTTTTCTCCCCAAGTGTGAACTTCCTAGTTGAATTAAATCATATGTCAATTGTTGCCTCGAGTGAAAATTGTTTGATAAGAAAACACAGTAAAATTGTGCATTTCAATTAACTCAAGAAAGTCCCTGAATTTTGCTTGTAAGTTGTGAACTCCCATTCAACATTTTCAAAGAATGTGCAGTGAAGACGCACAGGCCAGGATTGTTCTGGAGCCTCAAGCCTGCTGGCCTTTCCATGGATCAGAAGCTTCCTATGGTTTCTACTGTGCTGTCAGGGAGTTTTGAAACATTTGATGCCTTTACCCAACACAGCATGGCTGCTGGTGATTTATTTGTCTGTCACATGGTTGGTGAATTGAGACATTGGCCTTCAGAGCTCAAAGGATAAATTCAGCTTTTAAAAGGGAAAGTAATTAGCTAGGTCAAAGAAAACAGATTTTGCAGGCCCAGCAGGTAAGATCACTTGTTGCTTTTGCAGGGGACCCAGGTATGGTTCCCAGCACTCAGGTAGTGACTCACAACTATTTCTGACTTAGTACCCTCTTCTGACATCACTGGCTGTGCACGTACATACACACAAGTAAACTCTCGTAGGTATAAAAGTAATAGAAGTCTTTCTAAAAAATTGCATTGTCTTCTTAAGGCCACACTGATATCCAGGTTGCTCTGATGTGAGTCCTTCTCATCCTTGCTACACGTCTTTACTATAAGAGAGGAGCCATGAGGAGTACCTTAGAGTGACCAGAATGTTAGAGATATATCTTGCAGAGCTGAGGTGAGGAAGACCTTGAACTGCCATTACTTTTCTTGCAGTAACCGAATGCCTGACAAATATATGTCTATTGCTATGGGGAAGGCATAAAGCAGGAGCCTGAGGCAGCCGGCCACACTGCATCCACAATCATAGAGCAGAGAATAGACAAGAGTAAGGCCGGACTGTACCACTTCAGGGCCTGCCTTAGGAGAGGCTTTCCTCAGAGAGGCTTTACCACATGGAGTAACTCAACAACCTTCCAAGACTGCCAGCCACCACTGGGCACCAAATGCTCAAACATGTTTCCCATTGATATCCCTATGCCATGTCTCTAACTTAAAGCATGCACCCACCCAGACTTCGAATGTGCTTTGTAACTGTTGATGGCGCCTACCAGACATCACTGTTTTCTGAACCCATGCCTCCTCGGAAGAGGTCATAGGACTTGACCCCTCATCAGACAGGACAAGTGTTCTTTCTATGGAGAGGTCACAAATGATGTCCTCTTACATGAAGCGGTCAATGTTATTTCCAGTAAAAGTTTGCATCTGAGAGAATGTGTGAGCCTTATTTGGATCCTGGTTCAAACAAAAAGCTTAAAATATTTCTGATATATTTCTAAACTTGATAGATTTTGATATGTAAAGGAATTTAAGAATACTTATGACTACTTTTAGTCAGAATGCTGGTATCATAATGGTAAAGGAAAGGGTTTAATTTTTAGAGGCAAAGGCTGAAACATTTATGGGCAGAGTGCTACGATGTCTGGGATTTGTTTTAGGTGATGTAGGAGAGAGGAAATGGATAGAAGCAGTGTTGAAACAAGATTGGCCACGAGTCAACTGTTGTGTGCTAAGTACACGGAAGTCCGTTATGCCATTCTCCTCTGTAATTCTCCACAATAAACTTAACAATGACAGGGTTTTTTTAATTGCTAACAGTTAAATAGAGAAATTACTCAATTTCTGAAGCTCCTCACACAAGAATAGGTTAGGAAGAAAGAAGCACTAGGTGCTCTGAATTGAGGTCATCTTTGCCGTGTTGTCCTGGAGTCAGAACTCAGTTGGTCAACTTTCTGTTGCTGTGACAAGAAGACCTGAGAAAGTTAGCACACTCATAATCCAGTCACCTCTCAAGTGAGCCCAAGTGGGACCAAGCCTTCAACGTGGAAGCCTTTTGTCGGGTAGGGCTATTGGTCAATCACACTCCTGACGAACACATGGAGGAGGTCTGGAATCTGTCAGCACAAATCCAGCTGCTCTGTCTCTGGAACTTCCCAAACAACTTAGCAAGGAGTATGACAGAAACTGATACAGACAGAACATAATTTTCAGTGTCTGGCATTGTTTCTGAAGGGGCTTTTTTCTTGACAAAGAGGAACAACTCATCTTTATCGCTAGCTAGCAGTTTTCTCCCATTTGTTTCCAAGAGAAATAAGTCTCCAAGGCCTGGGCTGGCTTGCTACAAAGGGCCCTTGTAATATTCCACACTGCAAAACCCCAGACTATACTCACCAGCATTCATCCTGCAAATAGCAGAAGCACTAAGCTCAGGCAAGCTGTTGGGATGAAAGAAACTTGTCACTGAACTTAAGCTGGGCTTGTGCCTACTAAAGAAGGACCTGGGTGGGGAGGAGACACAGCCCTACAAAGACACTGTTGTAGTTAGGTGTACAGGCTGGTTTTGTGCCAACTTGACACAAGCTGGAGTCATCAGAGGGGTAGGAGCCTCAGTTGAGGAAATTTGTCCATAAGATCTGGTCATTTTCTTAATTATTGATCTGTGGGGGAGGGCTCAGCCCATGATGGGTGGTGCCTTAGGCTAGTGGTCCTGGCTTCTGTAAAAAAGGGGAGGAGGACCTCACCTATCAGTGGTCTAGGGGAGGGCCATAGGGGAGAAGAGGGAGGGGGGGATTGGGAGGAGATGAGGGAGGGGGGCGCAGCCGGGATACAAAGTGAATAAATTGTAATAAATAATAAATTAAAAAATAGAAGAAAAAAAGAAAACATGCTGAGCAAGCCATAGGAAGCAAGCCAGTAAGCAGCACTCCTCCATGGCCTCTGCCTCAGTTCCTGCCTCCAGGTTCCTGCCCTGTTTGAGTTCCTGTCCTGACTTCCTTTATAAAGAACAGCAATATTGAAGTGTAAGCCAAGTAAATCCTTCTCTCCCCAACTTGCTTTTTGGTCATGGTGTTTTGTCACAGGAGTAGAAACTTAAGACATTAGGGTTACTGTGGCTGTGGTGACCATGACCAAAGCAACTTGGAAAGGAAGGGGTTTGTTTCAGCTTACACTTAAGAGGTAATGGTCCATCACTGAGGGATGGCAGGACAGGAACCTGGAGGCAGAAACTGATACAGAAGCCATGGAGGGTTGCTGCTGACTGGCTTGCTCCCCATGGCTTGCTCAGCCAGCCTTATAAAACCCAGAACCACCAGCCCCAGGATAGCACCACCTACAATGGGCTGGGCCCTCCCCCATTTACTGCTAATTAAGAAAATGCCTTTAAGTGGATCTTATGGAGGCATGTCCTTAGTTGAGTGTCTCTCCTTTCAGATAACTCTAGCATGTGTCAAGCTGACATAAAACTACCCTGCACAGACACCTATTGCGCCTGTTGCAGAAGCATCCCAGGTCTGCTCCTGCTCCACCAGGTGAGGTTTTTTTTGGGTCAGCACTCAGACCTGGGCTTGAGTTACATTTTGTTCCACTTCTACGACTGACCAACCCTGTAGTCTAAGCCAGTCGCCAGTTCAGTCTTAAAAGATTAATCTTTCATGAAATGCATGTCCTGATAGACTCAACAAGCAGGATTAGAGTCCAACTGGGAAAGCTCAGAACATTACATTCGGCCTCTGGGGGTCTGGCTGGGATGTGCCACAGCCCACAGTCTGTGCAAGAAAGGTGGGTCTTTCCCGATCCGAACCTCCTGCTTGACTGTTTTTCTCACTCATCTTGGATGGAAACTTACAGCCTGTGGGTGGCTACTGAACATCCCGTGACAGAGATTTCCTTGTGCTTGTCTTGGATTTCTGTCAGTTCTTGCTGCTTATCTTAGGCATGTAGTCCACTTTTTATTCTGTGCGTTTTAACAAGCCAGTTCTCTTTATATGGGTCAAAGAAGGATGTAGATTGAGTAGCGAAATAAACAAATAAGGCTGAGGATGTAGCTTGGTTGGCAAAGTGTGTGCTCGAAGCCCTGGATTCGATCTCCAGAGCTACAGAGAATCACTGCTGGTGGCACTCGCCTAAAATCCCAGCATTTGGGAGGTAGAGGCAGGAAACCCAGAAATTTAAAGTCAGCCTCAACTACGTAGTGAGTTTGGGGCCAGCCTTGGCTACATGAGACCCTGTCTTTAAAAGGGGGGTGGGCAGGGAGAGAAGAAAAAAAAAAAAAAAGAAAGAAGAAAGGTGATCTCTAACTGAGACCAGGAGGGAGTGAGGTGTGGTAGGGAGAGATCAGAGACCCTGATGAACAAGCTTCTGCAGAGTCAAGATCCAGGAGCCCAGCAAAGTGCCTCCTGGATTTCCTAACCATCCTTAGTTCTTCATGTCTTTGGTATTCTTTGGTATGTCTTGTGTATCCTACCATTGTCTGTTCCCCATGGAAAGCAGACCGTAAAACCTTAAAAGCAAACAAAAATGAGGGCTAGTCGTCCGCTTGTATTGATGACTAGGTAGGGTGGATACAGGGAATCCTTCCTCCTGTAAAAACAGGACTCCTGGGTCCACCTGGGTTTCTTCCATGACTCAGTGGCTTCTGTTCCAACTGCAGACAAAGCCCTTCCTGGAAGAGCTGGTGTTTTCCTGGCTTACAGGATGCTGGCCGCTGACAGGTGCACAGTGTACACCAAACACAGCCCTCCTCACCGGGCTCAGGAAGATGAGTCACATCCACCAGCCTGGTGGCTTGACATCTTGGCTCTTTCCATCATGCACGTGGGACAGCATGGCCTAGAGTTGCGCAGTGTGGAACACTGAAGGGCTTTTGCAGCCATCTAGTCAAAACCTTGGTGACTGATATCTCTCCTAATAACAAGCGGGGAGGAAACTGGTAACTGCAGATAAAGAGGAGAGCTTCTGGTCTTTTCAAAGAAAAAGTCTCTCCAAAGACAATACCAGACCTTGAAAACGATGCCTCAAAAGATTTCATTTGTACGGTTGCCCACACTTCTTGCTTGACTGTCTGGTAAGTTTTGTAGAGAAAGTGTGACCTGAGGATTTGTGCCCTGCGCACTCAATTGCCTTTCTGCCGAGGAAGCAGTGTCAGGGACGTTGGGTCATCCACACAGGAAACATGGTC